CCACTTATTTTCGGTGCACTTTCATTAACAGAAAGCGTTAAAACTAAGTCGTCTTTCCGTTCATGCTTTGATTACCCTTGATAAACCTCAAAAATGCATCAAAATGAGTTTCAGAAAACCGTCTGAAAGCCTCCACGTAACAATGCTAATGTGAAGGAAGTGTGGCCACAGTACGCATTTGCAAAACCGCGCAAAATAACGAGGAGCGCCAAAAGCCCACCTGATACACTTGCCATCATCAATTTACCACACGTTCTTCCAACATTATCATTCACAGGAGACCTAGCGGAGTTGAACGGTCGTATTGGACGAGCAACAACTACCATAATGGTTCCAAAATAAAATTTTAGGGACGACGTCACCATTCAGCATGCTACAAAGATCCATGAATCCGCCGTGCAAATAAATGGGGCAGACATTTTCCAGTAAAATAAGGAATAAGTTCGCTATTAATTGAAAACGGACACTTGAAGAGAAATCGTACTAAATTAAGCCTATAAGGACAAAGGGACACTTTCCAACACAAAGTCCCACCAGCACGACAACTAATGAGACTAAGGTGTAAAGGATAGAAGTAGTGAGGTGATCGCAATGACCAAAATGTGTGCACCATACAAAGGGAATCTGTCCTAAATGAACTTTCCAGAAGTCGATAAAACCGTAGAAAGAAATCAAAAAAGGACATCAAGTGACTGCTATTAACACTCTCCATGACCTAGGCCAAATTTGTTTGCGCCTGGAAAATTCTCATAATAATCACTGCAGCTCTGCACAAATAAGGACAGGGGTAGCGGAAACTCTTAAGAGCAAGCAGAGAAGCGCAAAGGAACTATGCCTGTCTCATTCCTTTAAAACACTAGGTCAATTGCGCAGAAGCAGTGACTCACTCGTAAAAAGACCTTGGTGGATCCAATGGCATAGGTAAGGTCTTCGGGTCCGAAAGCTGCACGACAGATCTCCATTACTAAGTTCTGGAAATTGCTGCGGTGCAGTTGACTGAAGCGATAGGTGGTAGAGCTATGGAGCAGTAGAATCATATGGAAGCGCTGCACAAAGTCTGGGAACTCATAGCGGATAGGGTAGCCCAAACTGCGAATCTGTATGGTTTCCATCATACCGGAGTAGCGTAATTGACGCACACAGAGGTTGCGATCAAAACAATTGGGCAATTTGAACTCGTTGGGCTTGATGCAGCGTACGAAGAAGGGATGACACCCATTGATGATGGACATGAGACGTTCCAATGACTTTTTGAACTGCATTCCTAGCGTTAGTGAACGAGAGCGGTTGTCGGCCTAAAAAAATACCCAGACCATCACCACAACAAAATGCAGGTCAACAATTTTACATGTATGAGGTATGCCATGAAGGCAAGATCTGGTGGGCAGCACCAAAGCATGGTAATTACTGCCTGCATCTGAACGAAAAATGTATGTACCTTTAATAAATGATGAATAAATAATACGGAAAGGTACCGCATTTAATCCGAAAATGCATTTTACGGAAGAGATGTGATACATGGGATCAGTAGGAATTGTTCTTCAATTTATGCTGAATCGGTTATGGAAAAGGGTTGTCAATAGAACAATTCTATTTACAAATAACACATCCGATTTACCGAATGCAAACGCTTCTCGAAAAGCTTTCGAAGAAAATCATTTTTCGATGTATTGATGACCTCCAGTAGGTCATGGTTGAATGTATCTCTGTTCTTCTCCAAAAATCCTTCCACATTATAAAATACAGGCCCAGCGAAGTGTACGATACCAAATCGCTAAAAGTGACAGCGTGCAAATCTATGCTGTTAGGTACCACATAGAAGTTAAAAACAAAGAGTTCTCGGGGCAAAAATGGGGCTCACTGTCTCAGCAGAGGAGAGGGCGCGGATGAAGTTGGGAGTGGTAGAATGGCGAGCGTTGAGTTTATTTAAGAAGCTCTCGTCCGAGCCGCGGGGAAATCGGCTCTCCTCGTCCACCAGCGCCAACACGTTAAGCGGCTGATGAGCTATCAAATCTAGCACCTCGTGATTATCCCGAAACCTTATGTGTGTCCAATTGATACCTTCCGTCAAGTATTCATCTTGCTCCAGCTTGAAGATGTGTCGCACAAAGTATTGTTGTATGTTCTCATTTGCGTAGTTAATGCACAACTGCTCAAAACTAGAGAAGAATAATAGCCCAAGATCAATCTCGGTTTTGCAGCTGTACTACCAGCACATGCAGTCGCAAAGTGGAGGTATGCTTCCAACTAAAAATACCGCATTACCAACTACATCAAATTCAACTCAAAAGAAGTTCACTCCAATTAAGGCAACATTTAGAAAACCTTGAAACCACATTCAATTAATGAGGAGCAATGTGAATCCCAGAGACAAATAACAAACCTGTTGGACACGAAGTTTTCGAAACCAAAAATGTCAAGCACACCGATAGAAAGGCGCCCGGGGCCAGCAGAGGGGTCCAAGGGAGGATTCACCTCACAGGGGACGTGGGGACTGGTAGCAGACGTGGTGGGTACAGGATTGGCAGGTGAGGTTAAAGGATCCATCGCGGAGGGCCAAGTGTTGGAACGGGAGACGCGGTTGCCGCACCAGCAATCCTGAGAGCAATGATCTACCGATGTGGGAAAACGAGAGGTGAAGACAGGCGAGGTACAGTTGCCCGGTTTTGCTAAAGGCACCGCAACTGAAGATGTCGTCGTTGCACCCAGAGGAGGCTTGTAGATAGCTGCATTAATTTTCTCCACAATCCAACAGAAGAGGTGATCATAGATGGTCTTCACGAAGGCATCTCTCACAGTGCAGGCATTGGCGGGCAGAAATTGAGCTACAACACACTCTCCAGCCATCTGAATTCGCCGAGTGGTCATGGCCTTCTCTAGACATGTGTGACTCATCTTCAGCACAAAAAATAAGTAGAATAAGGCGAAGTAGAAACGGCAGACTTCTCCGATGCCCCTGTTTTAGTATGCACTGAGATTGTTTTAAAGTTACTAATTTATTCACTTGCACGTACTTGTAACAGTATAACAGGTTAACATCAGCCTTTCATTTCCACAAGAGTAAAGTACCCAACCGTTAGAAAATATGCCAACTTTTGAGGCTATTTACAACGACAGTTGCGCGGAAATCATAAGTGGTGTAATTAAAAGCATACCCCAAGCAGATTGGAGGCGTATCTAAGTTCGGAGCGATGAGTATCCTTCACCTTGCTCGCATCAGCACTCTCCTTCAAAATTTCACAGAAAGATATGTTTCCCAGATGCAGCAGTGCTGCCAATAGGTGCCAGATTTCATCGATCTGGTGATCCGTAAATTCGAGATAACGCATTGTCGAGACAATATTTTCAAAGTGCGTCACATCGTTCGGGCTATCAATCAAAGTATCCTTGCCCTTTTGTAAAACAATTAGACGAATAAATGCGTGGACAGGCGCCAATTATTTGTCAAAATAGTAAAAACGTTTATCATCACAACAAAGCATTGGCATATTTGTCAAAGACATCAGACACTGCTTTTAACTGCCGCCACATATGCTTTCCTGCATCTGCCATTTGGAGTGGTGAAGTCTACTTGCCTGACAGAGGTAGTTGTAGCATCTGGCGTCCTTAAGGCCCAGACGACGCTTATCCCTGAGAGGCATGCCGGCGAGCATGCAGTAAAAGGCATGATAGTTGCGCTCGCCCACTGCTTGGCGCACAATGCGCGACTTCTCCAACAAGTACTGCTCGATGCGCGCACTCACAATGTGGCCGGACTCCTGGTCAAAGTGGATGTCCACGTACTTGCCGAACCGAGAGGAATTATCATTACGCACCGTTTTTGCATTCCCGAATGCTAGAGCAATTCAGGCGCATACGCGTATATACACTTGCAGTGAGGCACAGAAACGTGTAATCATACGACTACAAACAACTACTTATTCAAAAGTTTGCACATTAAAGCTTTCGACTGGAACACAGTGACTGACAAGAATATAAGCATTTACAACACTTATTTCATATTTTATCCAAGAACCTAGAACAAGTACCACAAATTATTGAGATTTTAACCAACTCAATACTGGGCCTAGATTGTAAGCGATGTCAGAATTTTTGTTAAAATGGATTTAAACTTAACCCAAACTGATAGAATAACGGTTCCGGTGCGATAAATACCTTCCATGATTGGATTTGATTCCAGAATTCTTTTGCCAATGCATGATTCTCCCCCACTGAGAGTTGTGATAAACTGAAGCAACAGTTTTGTGCTTTCCGTTTTACCTGCTCCACTTTCGCCGCTAGAAAAGGAAGTAAAGAAAAA